GTGTTCTCGGCAAAACTCACAAGAGAACTCAAGTTTCAATGACCCAACATAGTGATTATAGCCGTATCGTTGGAACCTTCCTTGTTCAGAATAAATATCATGCGATGAACTAAAAAGTAGTATATGTAACTTCTTTCATCTCTATGTCTATGTTTTCGGAACCTATATATATCTGTACACATCAAAGATTATCTCCGTTTTCTCTACTTTTCATGTTCTTTGCAAATAAATTCATGTATGGATTACCTACCTGGTAGGAGATTGACAATAGTCTGAGCATGTTTATAGTGTTAACAATATATATCGTGTTATGTTATTTTACTATTAATACTTTTCTACCAATGACAATCATCTCATTTTATATCTCCGTGTTTCTATGGCTTTGTCCTATCTCTATAACACTCTATTACACATCACACGTGTTTCACCCTTAATATATTGCATACTGTGTATTCTCATTATTTCATCACATTTATTTCATTCTTTCTTCTTAATACCAGATATATCTTATCATTGTACCATGTGTATGTGTGTTGTTTCATTCTTCATCAAATTATTGAGAAGCATATATCTTGAATTGTTACAAAATACAATGTATTTGTGTCATTCTTTTCGTTCTATGGTCTATCTGTTTTTAAATGCCCATGGATGTTGATAAGACGTTAAATAATATAGCCAAATGAAATAATGTTATAATCTTATCTATGGATATATATACATATGTTTCCTTATCTTATTTCCTTTCATGTTTTTACACTACATTTATTTATAGATATATTCATTACATTTAGATTATTTTGTGTACGATTTTTGCCATAAATAATGTATTTGTACTTTACATGGAAATGTTCCCTCCCCTCCTCGCAGTTATCCCGCCAAATTATCAAATTGCTTAATACACTATAACATTTGTTAATATCGGCAAATAAAGAGGGAGGAAGAAAATGTTAACAGCCGTTAAAATAAACAAAAATAAAAAAAATACCGGTATATAAAAATAACAAGTAGTTAATGTGAAACAGCAATAATTTATTTTATGATATTAACCGAACCAGCACTAATCTATTGGATGATATTAACCTCGTGTTCACCTTCTTCATTTTCAATTACTTTAACAGTGAAATCATTACACAGAAACCCGTGACTGTATGGGACATTGCGAAATATGTTACAGTTAAATAGATTTACCTTACAAGGTATCCTAAGAATGTTTACTCTGGTGCATATTTTTTATGATAATTAAAAGAACTTTTTCCTGGAACAACTGATATATTTAGAACAGATGTAAGATTATTCTTCCGAGTACCAGTTTAAAATATCAGTATGTATAACATACATAGCTGTTAAGGGCAGTTCAGTTACTGCGACACTCGCCTGTTATCTTATCTCCTCCAGCTTGCCCTCGTACGTGTGGTGAAATCAATCTGGGGTCATGTGAGTGACTTATCGACTAAATAACCTTGTTTTATTCGGGGTGACTTTAATATTTCAACGATAAATTTACAGGTATGTGTATATTAAAGGATTCTTTATATTCTAACAGAAAATTGGTCGAATATATATATATATGTGTATGTCTTTCGTATAAATTATTCTTAATGGTGACTGGGACATGTTTGTTCCTTGTTTGTATAGCACGTATTGTAAATAATCACTCACTAAATACATAAAATTTATGTATATCTAGTTTAATACTGACCTGAAATCGTCCATTCTGTGGTTTATTGGGACTGAAAGACTATCTTTTGAATGAGGCGAAAATGTTTGGACATTTTCTTTGTCAAAAAACACGAACCTAGTGATCACGGAAATCTATAATGAGTTTCAACGCAAGGCATGCGTGTGGCTATGTGTAATACGTGGTGCACATGAGTCACAAAGTATTAAAGCATTAATTGATTTAGGTTGTTTCAGATATATAGAAATAACGATTTGTGATGAGTATGGCGATCTTGTCTTGGTCAATCAAAGTAAGCAATGTCACATTCCTAAAGGAGAACAGAGATGTTATGTTGACAGTGTGAGTAGACTTGGTGTATGTAGACGTTATGTTGACAGTGTGAGTAGACTTGGTGTATGTAGACGTTATGTTGACAGTGTGAGTAGACTTGGTGTATGTAGATGTTATGTTGACAGTGTGAGTAGACTTGGTGTATGTAGATGTTATGTTGACAGTGTGAGTAGACTTGGTGTATGTAGATGTTATGTTGACAGTGTGAGTAGACTTGGTGTATGTAGACGTTATGTTGACAGTGTGAGTAGACTAGGTGTATGTAGATGTTATGTTGACAGTGTGAGTAGACTTGGTGTATATATGTGTTATGTTGACAGTGTGAGTAGACTTGGTGTATGTAGATGTTATGTTGACAGTGTGAGTAGACTTGGTGTATGTAGATGTTATGTTGACAGTGTGAGTAGACTTGGTGTATGTAGATGTTATGTTGACAGTGTGAGTAGAGATGTTATGTTGACAGTGTGAGTAGACTTGGTGTATGTATATGTTATGTTGACTATATGAGTAGACTTGGTGTATGTAGATGTTATGTTGACAGTGTGAGTAGACTTGGTGTATGTAGATGTTATGTTGACTATATGAGTAGACTTGGTGTATGTAGATGTTATGTTGACAGTGTGAGTAGACTTGGTGTATGTAGATGTTATGTTGACAGTGTGAGTAGACTTGGTGTATGGTGTATGTAGACTTGTTATGTAGATGTTATGTTGACAGTGTGAGTAGACTTGGTGTATGTAGATGTTATGTCGACAGTGTGAGTAGACTTGGTGTATGTAGATGTTATGTTGACAGTGTGAGTAGACTTGGTGTATGTAGATGTTATGTTGACAGTGTGAGTAGACTTGGTGTATGTAGATGTTATGTTGACAGTGTGAGTAGACTTGGTGTATGTAGATGTTATGTTGACAGTGTGAGTAGACTTGGTGTATGTAGATGTTATGTTGACAGTGTGAGTAGACTTGGTGTATGTAGATGTTATGTTGACAGTGTGAGTAGACTTGGTGTATGTAGATGTTATGTTGACAGTGTGAGTAGACTTGGTGTATGTAGATGTTATGTTGACAGTGTGAGTAGACTTGGTGTATGTAGATGTTATGTTGACAGTGTGAGTAGACTTGGTGTATGTAGATGTTATGTTGACAGTGTGAGTAGACTTGGTGTATGTAGATGTTATGTTGACAGTGTGAGTAGACTTGGTGTATGTAGATGTTATGTTGACAGTGTGAGTAGACTTGGTGTATGTAGATGTTATGTTGACAGTGTGAGTAGACTTGGTGTATGTAGATGTTATGTTGACAGTGTGAGTAGACTTGGTGTATGTAGACGTTATGTTGACAGTGTGAGTAGACTTGGTGTATGTAGATGTTATGTTGACAGTGTGTATGTAGATGTTATGTTGACAGTGTGAGTAGACTTGGTGTATGTTGGTGTATGTAGATGTTATGTTGACAGTGTGAGTAGACTTGGTGTATGTAGATGTTATGTTGACAGTGTGAGTAGACTTGGTGTATGTAGATGTTATGTTGACAGTGTGAGTAGACTTGGTGTATGTAGATGTTATGTTGACAGTGTGAGTAGACTTGGTGTATGTAGATGTTATGTTGACAGTGTGAGTAGACTTGGTGTATGTATATGTTATGTTGACAGTGTGAGTAGACTTGGTGTATGTAGATGTTATGTTGACAGTGTGAGTATACTTGGTGTATGTAGATGTTATGTTGACAGTGTGACTTGGTGTATAGATGTTATGTTGACAGTGTGAGTGTAGACGTTATGTTAGACTTGGTGTATGTAGATGTTATGTTGACTATATGAGTAGACTTGGTGTATGTAGACGTTATGTTGACAGTGTGAGTAGACTTGGTGTATGTAGATGTTATGTTGACAGTGTGAGTAGACTTGGTGTATGTAGATGTTATGTTGACAGTGTGAGTAGACTTGGTGTATGTAGATGTTATGTAGACAGTGTGAGTAGACTTGGTGTATGTAGATGTTATGTTGACAGTGTGAGTAGACTTGGTGTATGTAGATGTTATGTTGACAGTGTGAGTAGACTTGGTGTATGTATATGTTATGTTGACAGTGTGAGTAGACTTGGTGTATGTAGATGTTATGTTGACAGTGTGAGTAGACTTGGTGTATGTATATGTTATGTCGACAGTGTGAGTAGACTTGGTGTATGTATATGTTATGAACACATATTAACTACACTAACAGTATGTACACGATATGTAGACAGTGTGAGTAGACTTGGTGTATGTGTGAGTAGACTTGGTGTATGTAGATGTTATGTTGACAGTGTGAGTAGACTTGGTGTATGTAGATGTTATGTTGACAGTGTGAGTAGACTTGGTGTATGTAGATGTTATGTTGACAGTGTGAGTAGACTTGGTGTATGTAGATGTTATGTTGACAGTGTGAGTAGACTTGGTGTATGTAGATGTTATGTTGACAGTGTGAGTAGACTTGGTGTATGTAGATGTTATGTTGACAGTGTGAGTAGACTTGGTGTATGTAGATGTTATGTTGACAGTGTGAGTAGACTTGGTGTATGTAGATGTTATGTTGACAGTGTGAGTAGACTTGGTGTATGTAGACGTTATGTTGACAGTGTGAGTAGACTTGGTGTATGTAGACGTTATGGTGACAGTGTGAGTAGACTTGGTGTATGTATATGTTATGTTGACTATATGAGTAGACTTGGTGTATGTAGATGTTATGTTGACAGTGTGAGTAGACTTGGTGTATATATATGTTATGTTGACAGTGTGAGTAGACTTGGTGTATGTAGACGTTATGTTGACAGTGTGAGTAGACTTGGTGTATGTAGATGTTATGTTGACAGTGTGAGTAGACTTGGTGTATGTAGATGTTATGTTGACAGTGTGAGTAGACTTGGTGTATGTAGATGTTATGTTGACAGTGTGAGTAGACTTGGTGTATGTAGATGTTATGTTGACAGTGTGAGTAGACTTGGTGTATGTAGATGTTATGTCGACAGTGTGAGTAGACTTGGTGTATGTAGACGTTAGGTTGACAGCGTGAGTAGACTTGGTGTATGTAGATGTTATTGTGTCAGTAGACTTATGTAATGTTATGTTGACACAGTACTCTAGATGTTATGTAGTGTGAGTACTTGGTGTATGTTATGTTGACAGTGTGAGTAGACTTGGTGTATATAGATGTTATGTTGACAGTGTGAGTAGACTTGGTGTATGTACACGTTATATACATATTGCTATGTCTGAAGTGACCGCCTCATAAAACTCATTCATAACGAGGAAACTGATTGGCTATTGATTTTTAAAAAGTGTAAGTTAACATTTATCGTTTTCATATCGGTATTTTAGTATCATAATGGTTAGATATATTAAATATTATACCATTGGTCTTAAGTTTCAAAGTTTGGAGAGAGAGAGAGAGAGAGAGAGAGAGAGAGAGAGAGAGAGAGAGAGAGAGAGAGAGAGAGAGAGAGAGAGAGAGAGAGAGAGAGAGAGAGAGAGAGAGAGAGAGAGCAACTGTTTTTATACTGATGTTCTGTTTTTTCTGAGATGTTCATATAAACATACTTTAATGATCATTTTCACATTTTTTCATTTCACAAAATAGTGAAGTGACCGTTATGATATCGCTGTTCATACAGCTAAATTCAAGTTCTCATTCTGAAGTTGTTGGTTTGGTTTGTTTTGGGTTTTTTTATTTGTTTGTTTGGGGTTTTTTTTAATTGTGTTTTTTGTTTATTTTTTTTATTTTTAAAGTGACCATTGGCTACGACTGTGAAAATTATCAGATCTACCATGTGAATGAAAAAGATACCTATTCCATTACGTGGAATGGTGGAAGTATACCCAGTTACTGTTCCATCGGATTCGTTGGTCGTGATAATGGTTACATGAACGAGTACAAAGTGTGTATAACGAAAACAAAATGGTCACTTCCAAACTGTGGAGCGAAGGTCAAATACGAGAAAGGGGTCATGAGCTCGGTTTCAGAGGTAACGCCGCCTTGAATGTCTATAATTTCTGTCGCAAGTATAACTGTTTATATATAATAGCATTTCTTTTACGACTTTTTTTATAATATTATATATCCTTCTTTTACCAAATACCGCCTGAACTGGGCACCGTTTCAAATCTTTGGGAATACACAGGTGTAAATATTTTATCGTGTAGTAATAAGTGATTACAAGTAGTTTTAAAGGGTATGTGATTATGTGATTGATCATCAGTTGTTATCAGAGGCTGGTAAGTCTCTTAAAGACCCTTTATAACTATAATTTGTTTATAGTCTAGGGTGATCGTTTAAAGCTGTGTTTACATTGTCTTCACGGTTTCCGTGTGATTAAACATATTCACCAAATAAAACAAACATTAAGTAAAATGGCACACAATTGATGATTTACAGGTAAAATAACTAAGATTGATGTGCAGGTGATCACTACACCAATAATATACTACATAGATAATAAGGTATTTTACAATATGACTTTAATATGATCAAATTGAACCTGACAAAACTAAACACTTTAAAAATCATCAATAATTTTGAACAGATTTCTTTGTTTGTTTGTTCGTTTGTTTTATTTGTTTTGTTTTTTTTTAATGATATTCAGAATGTACAAGGACGAGGTGTTTCGAAATGTTCAGATTTGTCATAGTCTCATAAAAATTTACCTTAAATCCCAACAAACATATCCCTTCTATAACACTATTTATCAATGGTGAAGTGATTCTGATATGTTTCCATCCTAACAGATATATACACTGTCTTAACACTCACTATAAATGGTGTTGTGATTCTGATATGTTTCCATCCTAACAGATATATACACTGTCTTAACACTCACTATAAATGGTGTTGTGATTCTGATATGTTTCCATCCTAACAGATATATACACTGTCTTAACACTCACTATAAATGGTGAAGTGATTCTGATATGTTTCCATCTTAACAGATATATAACTGCTACGTCACCCCCACGAAATGGTGTGGTGAATCTGACGATTACGTGGATGTTGTCTTTGAGGCTACCTCCAATTTGGAGCAAGGGTCAGGAGAGATTGAACTAGAGGTTACAGCCGTTATGACGTATAACTGTGAGTATGATTATGTCATCCGTAATTAGGACCTTAGGACCTGAGTGCTTTACAAAGAATACATTATCAGTATCTTTAGATATCAGCTACATTTTGGCGAGGATGAAGAAAGACAAACGCATTGTTTTTTTTTTGTCTGAACCAAAACATACTTTATACTGAAAGACACTGACCACGTAATCTATATATCATGAAACACTGATGGAGAATTCGACAACCCAAAACTTGATTTTTACCAAATATGTAGATGCTGCTAGGCTAGATGACGTGTGGCTGGGCAATTGCTTCGTTTAGGAAGGAATATTGGCCATAAGTCCGGGACAATTAGTTTTACTATGACAGTTTTAATCAAAACTGATTTGAAAAATTAACAATATCGTCCTCCGTTTGTGTTTGGTGCCGTGTGCCACCATACAATACACCCTACTTATTGAAAACCCGTGTTAAACTTGGATATCTCGTACTTTTAAAAGCGGAACTTTTCTTTACCATTTCAAGCAGTGTCTGTGCGGATATTACTGGCAAATCATATAGATATGTTCATACTGTACTTAAAATGGCGCTCCGTAAATTGACAAATGCTGAAAGATGGCAAGATTCTAGAATTCAGTTGATCAAGTAATATGTGTTGGTAATAAGAAGACCTATCCGTCAATGAGAGACAGGTCAAAAGTCAACATGTTTTTACAAGGCTTCGGGAAATTAATTTTGTAACATGTCTTGTTAAAATGCTTTAATACGTTACTATACACCCTGTTGAGTTGTAATTGAATATTTTTTCTCAAATACAGTGGACAAATTAATCTGTTCCAACATATAGGCAGTCGCTAACCTTTGTTCAAGCATATACTTGTACCGCCGTTCGCTTTCCTTGGAAAAAACTCTCATAACAAGAGTACGGACGCATCACTTCTACTTCGATTTATTTTCTTTTTCGTTATCTTCTTTTTCGTCTGTGTTTTTTTACTTTCGGTGTTTTTGTACAATTTAAAGCTCAACGCTTCGAAGAAGAGTGACAGTATATATTGTCGCCTCGACGTCAGCGGATTTTTTTTTATGTTAATATTTTGATGCAAGTGTTAAAAGACACTATCATGTCCCTTTTTAACTTTACAATGGCGCTGATATTTCACTCGGAACTCCTCGGGTGTGCTTCATAATACATGTGGCGTTAGTCACATTCGAGGAGTGCCGAGTGGATATTTGGTGTTGGGTTCTCTGTAGGGTTTACATATTCCTTCCAAGGGACTAAAGCATTCTGGGTAAAAAGAAACCCGACATTTGACATGTTTCGTGTTCGATTAAATAGTAAGACTTTAATGCATTAGTGCAAGTGTTGAAAGACAGCAGTGCATGTTTTCGTTCTCTTTTTAACTAAATATAATATTTAGTCATTATTTCGAGTAGTGTAAATTTTGTTGTCACCCATTTCTTTCAGATAACTTGACAATTGGGGTAGCAGTCGGCGGGTCCATTGGTGGTCTGTTTTTCCTAGTGCTTGCTATAGTGCTAATTTCAAGAGCAAGGGCTCGCCAATGCCAACGCCGACCTGTTATTCTCACGTCAGGTAGGAAACCAATCGGGCATTATGAATTATAGGGTGGGGGGGGGGGGGGAAGTAAGTATATGACAACTGCATGTACTATCATTTTTTTAACAAAAGTTAAATTCCCTAGTTTTTGTGTAACATTTTTTATGTGACAGAGAAAATCGCTCATTGGCCAAGACGTCTCCTGCATTTGATGTCATCATTGCAAATCGATAATCCAGACTCTGATTAAATATATGTTTAGTTATAATATATAATATATAAAATATATAATTTGTCATATAATAAATGTATTACTGATTTTTTTTTAAAAAAAAAGATTTCTAACGGCCTCGCGGAATATCACCTTTTTCAGATCGACAAATTCTTGTATTAATCCAAAAAAAGTTGTATATTGTTAAGTTAAATATGTATTATCAATACATCTTTATTTCAAGAAAATGATATATTCAAAACGAATATTTTTTAAATGGTTGATTAATTCAATTGAAAGAAAAAATTCTCATGTACATGACATCTTTTTACAATATTCGTTGGAATGATATTCTTAAAATGGAGGAAGTATGTAAGAGTTATCTCCCTTACATCCGTTAGACGATGCATAAGAATCAATTCAAAATTGACTCAATAGACATGGCAATACTCCCACAAAAAAATCGATTTTAATGAACTTTAACTAATTCAGTATCATATTATTTTTAATGATATACATTTTTTTAAACATGTTGGCATAAATTCAATAGTAAGGATCGTATTTGAAATTAAATATTTTCGAGTAACTTAAAGCTTGATTTGTTTGGTTTTAAGAGAAATTGCATTCGTAATATAGAATTACAAGTGTTTTCATTACTCTTTGGTCTACACTAGGTTGCTTCCGAAAAAAGGTAACTCATTCGAGCATGACCTTCAGTCTTAGGTGTTCTCTCAACAGTCTAGTGGCAGGCATGCTATTGTACTAATTCATGTGCAGGTAAAATAAGGGTACGGGATGTATCATATCTTGCTTCCATCCCTGATGTTATAGATGAGATCTAGGGGCAACACCGTCAGTAAAAGGGGAGATTGTGATTGACAATAACAGCTACAATTCCATCCAAATAGGCAAGAGAGATGTTTATCGTTTCAAGTACTGACAACAAAGGTTAACAACGCCCTTTTGTTATCGTTATTAGGTTATGCAGGGTCTCCTCCTTCACAAGGTCTTACGAATCCTGTCATGTATTCATCAACGAGTGGGACATATCCGGATAATGCCAAACCGCCTCCCTCCTACGAAAGTGTGATGAACAGTCAGGCCTACAATTGCCCACCACCAACAGCACAGACATAATGAACTATGCAGGACATATTTCTGTCTAAGGTGAAAAAGGCATGAAGGACTGTTCAACTGCATAGTCTGACAGACACCAAAAAGACTGAAAATAGCAATGGCTATGAAGAGTTTAGTGATTTGACAAGTGTTGTTATATAAATAGATTTTACATTGTTTGTAAATAAAAATTATTTGTATCAAGGTATTTATTAATGAATCATAATTAAAAAAAAAATTAAATTAGGATAAAAATAATCAAATTCATAACTACAAATTTGAAGAAAAAAATAGTCCCACAAATAAACACAACGGCTATATCATAGACAACAAGATTGTGATATAGTAATGACGAATGAAATGTTGCTATATAAATTTCATTTGAAACAATTGTATTCTGCTTTTAGATAAGTCAAATCGCTGGACTTTTTTTCTCTAAAAAGTATATGTTGATATAGATCAGCTGTATAATGTTATTTTTAATGTTTTATATTGTCATGATAATGAATGAGATTCCGAATTATTTCCCTAAATATAATCAAGATAATGATATTTGCATAAAAAGGAAGTAATTTATCAAACTTCGCTACAGAAACAGCTGCCAAACAACTTCCCAGTTATACGTAAACAAATTGCTGGACTACGATGGGCAACGCATAGTTGTATTAATATCGGGAAGGTAATTTTTGGCTCCTTGTAATTTTTCGGGAGAGTATAAAGACGCCGCTTTGTCCTGAAACTAGGATAATGAAACGTAGCATTGTTTACATTAAGAGGATGTGAATTGTATTCAATTCAGGGCCCTTGACCCTTCAATTACAGAGTTATTGCCCTTTGTTAAAAATTTTCTCCAGAGCATAAGTTTGCTTTCATTTAAGAAAGGATAATGAAACTTCGTGGATACATTGTTCATACTGATAGTATGTACAGTGTGCCATATTTAGTTCCTGAAACCCCTTAATTACAGAATTTAAAAAAAATTGTTCAATAAAGTTCTTTTTAAGGAGCGCAGTGATATACTTATTTGAAAAAAAGATCCGATACAATTATAACAATACCGAGAAAAAAAACCCAAAAAAGTGATACAGTTAATCAAAAACTGTAAACTATATGATGTGATTTATTTTCGCGGATTTCACAATCTTAAGAAATTCGTGAAAGTTAACCTTAAAGAATTGTGATAAAGAAGGAAAAACTATGATGGTTAAGTATAGTATCCTGATACGAGAAACTCATTCTTCGATGATGTTGAAATCACAAAAATTGGAAGCCAATCAGATTATAGTGTTTGTTAACTCCCAAATTGTAAAATCAATCATAAATTTGCCTCTAAATGTGCTGTTAACTTGTGTGTCTTTTTTACATTCTTCTAGATTGCGCGAGATATACACTGCTGGTTGACCCGAGGTTTACCTCGATCTGCTTGCCACGTTTTTCTTCGCTCTAAGTCTGAAATTATCAGATATTGAAAACATGGAGCTTGTGCACCTTTTAATCTAAATTTTCATATTTTTTCACATCACTGTAGAATTTTACCTGTTGCATCTCATGTTTCGAAATTTAAACACTTAGAATCACCAATGAGTGATAGATTTAGGAAGCAGTAGTTTAATGGAGATAAAATTCGTTGTTTGGCTTTGTTTTAATAAATCAATTTGCACCAAAGCCATGTTTCCTTGATTTTGCTCTTGTACATAAAATCCTATATTTATATAATTGTACTAATTAAAGTGTTATCACGTAAAACAAGTATTGGTTATACTATACAACTTGTTACACGGAGAACATTCATTAAGGAGATATATTACTCTGTATGATAGGTATTTTTTATCTTTTCCAAAAGGCTACACAAAATTTTTTAGAGTTATTATTTCAGCATAGGTTGTCATATCTGTTTTAATATGCTTACAAAAAAAAAACTGAAAAAAAGTCTGCCTGAAAGAATTCCTATGTTTGTCCTAAACATTCGTATCCAAAAATATGTATATAAATATAAATATATATCTGTAATTAATGATGAACAAATGTTGATTAAATCTAACATTTTACAAATAAATGTAATTTCGAGTCTTTACTTTATCAAGTTTTACACGCAGTCACATGGAACAGAATACATACACCCCACAAGATCAGTGTGACGGTCACAAATTTTCACATAAAGTGAAATAACCTGCATTATCAGCTGTCGATATCTTGAATTAAAATCGTTATAATGCGACACTATAGGCTGGGGTTCGGGAAGTATGTATGCTACTATCTACATGTGGAAAGCTCACAGAGAAAAACTGAAGGCGTTATGCCACTCATGTAGCTTTCCTTGTCGGTTTCATCGTTTTAATAAGATTAAGACATCAGCAATAGGATAAAGTAAAGTAAGCGAAAGACTTTAAAAAGTTTTTTTGTGTCCTGTTTGGTGTTCTTCGATTAAATTATGAATTTGATAAAAAAAAAAAAAAAAGCAAAGAAAAGGGTACCCACGGCACGCCAGTAGTCTGTTGGAAGTTAATTAAGCAATAAAAGATCGTTAAAGTGTTTGTTACATCTGTCTCAGTAGAAATAACAGAGACTATTTTATACAGCAGAGACTATTTCATACGGCTGAGACTATTTCACTTAACAGAGACTATTTACACAGCAGAGACTATTTCACGCAGCAGAGACTATTTCACATAACAGAGACTATTTCACATGGGAGACTATTTCACATTAAATAGACAATTTTACATAAAAAAAGACTAATTCTTTTTAAAAGAACGTTCCGTATATTTTATTGAAGAACTAAATTTCTATAATTGGAAAAATTTTCCTATATCATATTCAGCTAATGTTGGTCTGTCACGGCTATAGGGCGTCTTCTGTAAACGGCGAATACTCCATTAATGGTTTGTTAACATTTCGAAAGTCCCGGGAATTTTTGAAAAGAACATACCCTACCCTTGCGTAAACATCTCCACACGTGCTGTCAATGAATTCAAGATGCAGTAAGTTCGTCCTCGTTCTCCACTTGTAAGGTATTAATCTTGAATTACTCCTTTTCGAACACCAAACACATCTATCTCTTTTTCCGGGAGTGCCTGAGGTCAACATTCTAATGGTCAGCATTATGTTAGTCGTGTAATTGATATTTAAAAAATTGAATATTCTACCAGATGTCTCCACTGGTTCCTTGGCTAATTTCTCGTACAACAAAAGCCGGATTCTGTCCGGATATTTTTTCTTGAGTTCCGTCATCACGTTCATGTCCTCCATCATTCGATTACACGTGTCCTTGGCAAGTTGTATCACATCGCCCCATTTTTGGCCATACGCCACAATTTGAGAAGATAATTTTCCTCGCGGATCTCGAATCAAATAGATAACTTTGAGATCAGGTAACCGTTGTAATAATATACTGACTGATTCCATGGACATACGGATCGTTTTAACAATTCTTAAATCACTTCTAAGGCATGGGTTTTCCAACAATGATATGCATTTCTTCACCGTCCTGATAGAAGTTTTGTTTCCTTGAATGCATTTTGCGTATTTTTGTGACGACATAGAAAATGTACCTATGAACCGACTTGTAAGATCCCTTACATTGACAAGGCGAAAGTCACATGTCAACCATCGGTACATAATTTCGGCATAAAACCGTATCTTCTGTTGCTTCCGAATCCCCCTATTGTGGAAAATGATTTTTAAAAAAAAATACAAAACTTCATAATTTAAATAATTTTGTTTGTTTCGTTATTTTAATGTCTTTAATTTCAAATGTACTTTATATTTTGTAAATCAAAATGTGTTAAAACACAACCAGTAGAGGATTAGATTGTGGTGTTTCAATGCCTACACGGTCACCTTCATCTTATAATACAACCAGTAGAAGATTAGAGTGTGACAAGGCTACACGGTCACCTTCATCTTATAACACAACCAGTAGAAGATATGTTATAACACACAAGAAGATGATTTGAATGTGATGTTTCATTGGCTACACCTGTATAGATATTTATACACAACCTATATATACCTTGTGATGACGTTATAGAGGATCACCATGACCTATATATACCTTGTGATGACGTTATAGAGGATCACCATAACCTATATATACCTTGTGATGACGTTATAGAGGATCACCATAACCTGTATATACCTTGTGGTGACGTTATAGAGGATCACCATAACCTATATATACCTTGCGGTGACGTTATAGAGGATCACCATAACCTATATATACCTTGTGATGACGTTATAGAGGATCACCATAACCTATATATAACTTGTAATGACGTCATAGAGAATCACAATAACCTATATATACCTTGTGATGACGTTATAGAGGATCACCATAACCTATATATACCTTGTGATGACGTTACAGAGGATTAACATAACCTATATACCTTGTGATGACGTCATAGAGGATCACCATGACCTATATATACCTTGTGGTGACGTTATAGAGGATCACCATAACCTATATATACCTTGTGGTGACGTTATAGAGGATCACCATAACCTATATATACCTTGTGGTGACGTTATAGAGGATCACCATAACCTATATATACCTTGTGATGACGTTATAGAGGATCACCACAACCTATATATACCTTGTGATGACGTTATAGAGGATCACCATAACCTATATATACCTTGTGATGACGTTATAGAGGATCACCATAACCTATATATACCTTGTGATGACGTTATAGAGAATCACAATAACCTATATATACCTTGTGATGACGTTATAGAGGATCACCATAACCTATATATACCTTGTGATGACGTTATAGAGGATCACCATAACCTATAGATACCTTGAGATGACGTTATAGAGGATCACCATAACCTATATTTCTTGTGATGACGTTATACAGGATCACCATAACCTATATATACCTTGTGATGACGTTATAGAAGATCACCACAACCTATATATATACCTTGTGATGACGTCATAGAGGATCACCATAACCTATATATACCTTGTGGTGACGTTATAGAGGATCACCATAACCTATATGTACCTTGTGATGACGTTATAGAGGATCACCATAACTATATATACCTTGTGATGACGATAGAGGATCACCATAACCTATATATACCTTGTGATGACG